AATTTGGGGAATCAGAAAAGGTCTATGGAAGGCACTGACATGGTGACATGTGCATGACATGTGGTAACAAAGGAGCATAGGATTTTAAGAGATGGAGGTAAAGTGACAGTGTGTTACAGGAAAGGGGCAGGGTAGAGCAGTCAGAAAGTAAGATTCAGGGGATAATTTAGGAGATATAAAAACAAAAGCTATCAGTAAATATATATGTATGTATGTATGTATGTATGTATGTATGTATAAATAATGTGATCTTGAGAGCAGGACCAGTGTTGTTGCACATCTTTAAGTCTCTGATACTTAGCATAATGTGTGCCACATAGTAAATGTTCAATGAATGTTTATTGAATTTCTAGCTTTAAAGAAATCTCAAATTTCAGAAAATGTTTCTTTGAGAAAACTTACACCATCCAGGCAGAAGTAATTGGAACTGTTATTCTGGAGAACTAAGGTGTTTCCTGAATAGTCTGTCTCCACTGTTTATGAGGACCACTGTTTCTTTGCATAGCTGGGGCACCTGTTAGTTTCAGAGTAGGAGAGGAGAGACATTAAATTTTGAAGAGTTGCAGCTTGAGGTATTTTTAGGTCAGGCCCGGCATTGGTAAACAGCTGTTGAGCAGTGGGTTTGAAGATACTCCAATGCTGAATTTCTCCTTATCTCTATCTCCTTAGTGCGAGGTGTGTTAAAAATGGAAAGTGCCCCCATTCATCATATTCACCAATGTACTCATGATTGCAAAGGCAGACAGGGTGTCTTGTAAACATATGTGTTAATACTATTGATATAAATAAAAGGCTGAAGTAAAGTGGGAGGTTAGATAACATCTGAGTAATCTCTACAGTAAAGCAAACTAAAATTCTGGTCCTGCTTCTCTGCTAAGATGGTATGTTGTTAAGTAGTGTTCTTGGAACATATGGACTAATTTTGACTCTTATCTTTACCACCAAGAGAACAAGAGGGACAGATGAAAGAGAACAAAATCGAACTGATTTCAGCAAAAGTCTTTTCATAGATTATGTAAAGCATATAGAAACAAAATTATATACAGTCAATAAAATATTTTACTTATATTCACAAGTACTTAGGTACTTTGAGGACAACAGGGATGGCTCAGGTCAAAACTATCAAGTGAAGTTTGTCTTTAATGTGCTCTTCACCTTTTTCGTCTCCTCTCACCTCTTTTCACTCCTTCTGCCTACCCACCAGTTTAAAAAGCCACCAAAGTCTCTCAGTGTATCTTCTCAGTCATGCTACAGTTTGATTTGAGAATCTGAAGCCCAGAGCTATCCTGGATTAGACTTTTAACAGTTGTGTGACATTGGACAAATAATTTCATCAAATTGAGCCTCAGTTTCCTTTTGTGCAAAATGAGAATAACGATATTTGCACTAACTAATAGGTTTGTGGTGAAGAAAGCACTTTGTAAGCCACAGAGTGTTACATAAATGTGTTATTACTACTACTGATATTCTTATTATTTACTCAAATACATTATACTCCAAGACTTCCCATCCTCTTTTCATGCTGCTTCATCAAAACATCTCTTGCCTTAGCTTAATTCACCTCAAGAAGTTGGAAAGAAAGCAATAATAAACTGTTTACATTTTAAAAGAGATAATTTCTACTTACTGGAATTTTGTGTATCAAGGTGAAGTTAACTTTTTTTTTTAAATCACAGTAAAGGGAACAAACAAAGCACATGTGCAAGGCATAGTGTCAAGCACTTTATATGCATTTTTTTATTTGATCCACACTACATCTCTGTGAGGTGGGTGCTATTTTACAGTTGAGGAAACTGAGGCTGACAGAGGTTAAATGACTTGCTTAGGGTCACACAGTCAATAGGTTTCTGAAGCTGGATTTGAACTCAGATATCCCTGACTCTAGGCCCAGTGCTCTATTAACTACTGTGCCACCTGCCTCTAGGCAATAGAGATATTTTGGAGCTGGAAGCTCTACTCTCAAAATTTGAAGACAATTCTTATGTAGCCCACTATATCCCATCTTCTAATATTTTTCTTCTGTTGATCATTTCCAATTTCAGTTGTATACAATTTCTTCAAAAATGGTTATTACCATGTTTTCTCCTTTATTAGATTCTGAGATCCTTGGGAGTAAGAACTCTACCTTTCTTTGTAACAACAGTACTTAGCACAGTGCCTGGCACATAGTGGGCACTTAATAAATGTTTATCAACTTATTTCTCTGTGCAAAGACTGTCTTGTTTCTATACTTGCATGTCTAGCACAATGTCTGATACATAGTAAATACCCATTAAAGAGTTTTTGAATGAATGAAAAAATGAAATGAAGAAGTGAATACATATTCTTATAGTTCTTTTAATCATTCTTCATATGATATATTTTATATAGTTCCTCATCATATTAGGCACTATTTTCTACACACACTTAGATCACACCACGTTGAAGCTACAAATTGTTCTGAGCATTCTGAAAAACAATTTAAAATTATGTTAATAAAATTACTGAAAATGTCCATTCCCGCTGATGCAGAGATTCCATTGCTGGGCATATACCCTATAGAGTATGAAGATAGAAAGAAAAGCCCAAAATATTTGTAACAGTACTTTCAGTAGCAAAGGAAGGAAAGCAAGAAGATATCTAAATAATAGAGAATGGCTAAAAGATTATGGCACACGACTATAATACAATACTACTGAACCATGAGAAATTATAAATATGAAGACTATATAGAGCAGAAAAGTTATTTGGCCTGCTGCAAAGTGAAGTAAGTAGGCCTGCCTAAACAATGAGCACAATAACCATAACAATGTAAGACAATCATAGAATAACTTTAAAAAAAAGAGGTAATGCTGTATAATTAAAATTACTAAACAATCCACTAGGCTAGAAAAAAAATTATCTTCTTTCTTTGCAGAGCTGGGAGACTACATATAGTCAGAGTTATTTGATGCGTTGGTTTTGCTGATTGGATTTCTTTTTAGTCTTTCATTTTTACTCTGTTACAAGTGGGGACACGCATACTTAGAAATGAAGGTGGTAGAAAATCAAAAGGTATCTTTTTTTTTAAACATACCAGGTTGGCTAGTATTTGCTATATAGGCTTTTAAGCGGGGAGAGTCTCTATGAACGTGTACACAGAGACATGCACACAAAATCCAAGCGCTACAAATAATTTCATAGGTCTTCCTGTACCTTCTCCTAAATATAGGTTGAATTACAATCACTCTACTCAACAAAAATGAACATTTATCTCTGTCATTAAAAACCTCAAGAGAAAGAACTTGTCCCCATACCCTATAAGATTTCAATCACTCTAATCACTCTTGATCTATTACTCATTACTTAACACTGAATACTAGAGTATTAAAATAGTTTTCATCAAGGCATATCAAAACACTTTGACAAACATCCTTAACACATAAAACAAAATGATGTCCAGAAACTTTTTTAAGCAACTTTGAAGAGTATTAGCTTTTAAATGAGAATCTAATAGCATGAGATAAATTCCATTGAGATGTAAATTTAAATCCTTAATTCCTTTTATCATTATTCCCAGGTATTTATATAAGGTTCTGATATAGTTAGGAAGCCAGTCAACTGCCCTTTGTTAAGTGTTTACTGTGTGTCAGGTACTATGCTAAGTACTGGGGATATGAAGTGAAAGATGAATATCAGAACATTTTAAATGGATGAAATGACAAAATAATTTGAAGAATTAGAAAGGATCTTAAAGTTAATCTAGTCCAATATCTAATTCAGTAAAGATATAAATAATTCTTAAAACATGCCTACCATATGTTTACCCAGACTCTGCTTAAAGTCTTCTTGCTATAAGAATCTTGATTTGAGATAATTCCACTTTTTTACAGCTCTAATTATTATAACATTCTTCCTTGTTTAAGAAAACAACCACAACAACAAAAACAATAACACTCTTTGTAGTGTCCAACCATTCGGTCTTCTGGAACAATTTATAAAAAGTCATTGAGGCAGCTAGATGGTTGAACAGAAAAATCTAGGAGGTTGGAGTCAAGGAAGGCCGACACTGAAATCAGGCTTCAGACACTTACTATGTGAGGATTCCTGACGAAGTCACTTAACCTATACCATATTTAGTTCCCTTACCTGTCAAATAAGTCTTTGGACTCAGTGGGCACTAAGGTCCCTTCTAGCTGTAAATCTAGGATCTTATGATCCAATGATCATCCTCAACATAGAAGCTCCCCAAACATTTGAAGATAGATTTTTATAAACCCCGCTGTCTCATCTTCTCCGGGCATGTCCTATATCATATTTCTCCATTTATCTTTTGCAATGCTTGGGACAGTGTCTTATAATCAGTAAACAGACTATAAATTTCTTTTAGGAAAGGGTAAATGGACAAAATTTATTACTCTTAGGAAATAGTTTACTTATCTTCCTCACACTTTTGTTTTCCTTTTTCTAGATGTTATTTTGTCAAAGTTTTGGGTTTTTTGGGTTTTTTCCCCAATATATGGCTCTCAGAAATGAACATAGGATTTCAGATATCATCTAGAACAATTGACAGTACACAAGTATTTATTACTTTCTATGATGTGGACGGTATGTCTATAAATGAGGTTTAATTGTGCATTAGCTTTTTCTTTTCCCTGAAACAAGCCCCATGAGAAGAAATTTCAATAAAGAAGACAAGATATTTGTGGCCAAAAGTCTTTACAAGATTGCAGCTATTCTTAGGATTTTTTTTTCCTTTACACTTAATGGGCTCCAGTATGGAATAAATAATAAAGATTACTATTCTACAGTTGAGTCAAATTAAGGTTGCAGCACTTGATACTTCAGCACTGAAGTAGGTGTTGTCTTGAATATCAATTTGTGAACGGTAAAGCTTAATGCTTCCTGGTTGCTTTTGTCTGAAAGTAGGCTACATCAAGGGAACTAAATCCAAATCAGGATTAACAAGAATTCCATAGGGCACCTACTGTCATTCTAGCACCACGTTGGTATCCATCCAACCCGATAGTATTAACACTTACCATTCTTGCAGAGAAGAGCAGCCAAGTAGTCCTGAGAGTAAGAGTCAATGTACAGCAGAAGGCTCGGTGTTTGGCCCGTCAAAAAATTAAATGCGATATTCTCCTTAGATGATGGCATAGCATCCACATAAATGGCTGAGGAGGAAAGACTTGTATTCTTGGTCACTGGATAAGGCTCTTGAAAAACATAAGTAATAGAAGTACCAGCTTCAAAAACTGCAGAAACCTCTGGAAGATACAAGAGTGGCATTACATGTAGAGTTAGTGCAGTGTTTTACACAGAATAAATGCTCTACAAATGTTTCTTCCATTACATTAAGTATATTGAGAATTACAAATTCTTTACAATTTGTCACTAGGGTACTGAGAGGTAGTCTGGTGCCATGAAAAGAGATTTGGACTTGTCAACAGGCCTGTTGTGACACAAAATCTGTGTGACTCTGAACAATGTTTCAATTGCTATGAACTTTACTTTCCTTAGCTGTAAAATGAATATAATATTCATATTGTCCTACTGTCATTTTTAGTGTCAAGAAGGAGCTTAGTAATCCTTAATGTACTTTATAAAAGTGAGTTATTATTACTATTTCTCTGTTACGTGGAAAAGTCGACTGTGAAAATGCAAAAGCATATGAATTAGATGCAACAATGAAAGAGGTCTCTTATTGGCAGAACCATAACATTTGAGGACCTGAAGGCCAGATTAGATGATCAAAGTCTGTTTCCTCTGTCTCTAAGTCTATTATACAAGGATCCTATGACTTATGCAAATTGGGTAGGAATGGCACAAGCATGATAATAGCAAAGAATCTATGTGATACTGACAATTAAGTTCTGTAGTGCCTTAAGTATATATGGAATAATTATGTATGAAGTAGAATATGCATGGAATACCAACCGTCTGGACTTAATTTTGAAGAAATAGTCCTCTAAGTAGGTTTATGAATGCCAATAAAGTAACTCTCCATACTATAAATTTATTTATAAATAATCACTTGTATACATGTTCAGAACCTTGCTTAATGTACAGTAAATAAATGACATGACAGCCCTTGGTCCTTTACTTTTTAGATTCCACACCTGAAATTCTGGAAGGAGAATGTGACAGTTATGGATTGAGCCTGAAAAAGTAATTAACCTTAGAACATGACCCTTTGACCCCTCACTCCCAAAGAAAGAAAGAAAGAAAGAAAGAAAGAATGAAAAAAGAAAGAACCCTCTTGTAGCTAAATCTATTCTTCAACCTTCTGATACTGAATTTTGTATACCATATGTATTCTTTATGTTCATTTTTAGCTAGATTTCACCTGTAGAAAGAGGTTGGGGAGAAACCGGTCAGCAGAAAGAGCATGGGCACTAGAATTAGAAAACTTGTGTTCAAATCCCACCTCTCATAATACCAACTTGGGTGATATTGGTCAAGTCACAATATTCCCAGGCCTCAGCTTCCTCCTCTTTAAAAGGAAGGGGTTGAACTAGATAGTCATTGAGTTCCTTTAGTACTTCAGAGGAGCAGCAAGGTGGTACAGTACAGTCAATAGAGTGCCTGGCCTGGAGTCAGGGAGACATCTTTCTGAGATCAAAGCTGACCTCAGATAGTTACAACCTGTGTGACCCAGGGCAAGTCACTTAACCCTATTTTTCTCAGTTTCTTCATATGTAAAAATAAACTGGAGAAGGAAATTTTAAAAAATCCAGTATATTTGATAAGAACACTACAAATGGGCTCATGAGGAGTTGGACACAACTGAATAACAAAAGAGCTCCAGAACTAGGATCATGGAATATTTCCCTAAGGCCACACACATACCTGGGGATCACCCTTTACATAATTCTTAGTAAATTCTTTATTAATTTTCCATTTCAAGCACAAAATACTTATTTTCATACTTCTCTCTTGAGGTTTATCTGTTTGGCCCTATCACTGTACTTAAACATGAATTTTAACTCATACTGTGGTGGCACATTTGTTCTTTCTTGTAAAAAAAAGTAACTAATAGTATCTGTAGCAAAATCAAAATAAAATAAAATAAAGTTGAATATTTATATATATTTCTTAGCAATTTAGAGATGTTAAATCTTTTTACACAGATTCAGAGAAAGTGATTCACATTCCTTATTGTGTCACAGTATTAGCACTCCCGTTTATGAAGACATGTAGTGGGGATCTGTGACAGGTGAAGTTTTTAGTTTATCATCAGCTGGATTCTAGCAGTTTCCTGGGTGCATTTCCTCAGGGAACCTCTGCCCACATTCTAAGGTTTGTTCTTCTAGTTAGAAGAATAATTGCTTTTTTATTTGATGCTTCCTTTTTTTTTTCCTTTTCTTAAAACCTTAGGCTATTTCAGGGCAATCTACTAAGACTAGCACACTAGCTATAGGGATTGATACTACATGATCAGAAATGTTTTCTTCACTTTTTCTTTATATTTAGAATAGTAAATACCCCAAATATACATTTTTTAACCTGAAGGGAAAGACAAGATAGATGAGTTGTACTTTCCAGTTTTACATTTTTGGGATGAGCATTTTTGTTGTGTTGTTTTTGTTTTAGCAATCTGAAAGTAACTAGTTAATCTCATACCTAATTCTTCCTGATTTTTTCTGAGGGAATGATATTCATTTCTTGAATTACATAAACCAAGAGTTTGAGACCTCCTAATGATGGGGTTGGGATCTGGGCCCGAGAAAGGAAAAACCCTGGACTTTCCCAGGAGGCCAAATCTTGCTGAGGCTATAATCTCATCAACTGGCCTTTCATTGTGGCTACACCCAATCTCCCCTCCATTGAATTACCTCCCTATGACCCCCAGCCATTTCCCACAGGTAATCCTAGCTAGCTCCATTGTCCAGGTCCCAGGAGTTCTGTTTACCCTGGTTTACTGGCCACTCCCATCCAGATCTCCTTAGGCCCCTCCTCCCATCACCCCAAACTACTTGGCCACTCCCACATCCCTCCCACAGGCTTTCTGTCTCCATTAAGATGCTGGGATTCTTATAATCTAGCCATTGCTTAGATTCTTATAATCAAGCCACTGCTTACTCATATTCAGACTCCTTAAGAGTCTGCCCAATATGATGGATGTTCTAATAAACCTTGTCTTTGGCTGAAAGAAAGCTTGGGTCAAATTCTTTCAGGCAGGACCCATGTGTTGTGATATTGGGGTCCCAGCACCCCTAAACCCCTAAAGACTGCATCACTGATAAAGATCAGATTTTATGAGCATGCAAATTCCCAATAGTAGTTTAAGGGATAAAGGAAATAGGGGGGGAAAATGAAACATATGGGCTAGTAAATGCCTAATACTAACTGCAAGACTGTTGTAATTAATGACATTGTTATTGAAGGATAAAATCATTTTCATTGGCAAAAATGCATTGAATATCTACTAAGCTTAGAGATAAAGAGGCACAAAAATAGGTCCTGTCTTCAAGAGGCTTATGGTATAGTTAAGGAGAAATGATTACTGTACAGTACACAAAAAAGAAAAATAATTTTAAAAAATAATATCATATATCCAGTAAACCCTGAAACAATTGGTAGAGGTTGCAGGAAAGAGATGTAATTTGGGCTGAACCATGAAATGGTACTTAGATAAGTGGAAATTAAACAATGGGAATTACCTCTGACTATTACCTCTGACTATAGGTAATGTCTTGAACAAATGCTAAACATTCATTTTGGTTTGACAATGGCCAAGCATACTTGAAAATCAGTCATGTTAAAAGATTTTTAGAATGACAACAGTCTGATAGAACAATTCATAAAAAAACAAAATAAAAATGGTGCTCTTGGAATTACGAGGGCTAGTTAACATATTCCCCCACCCCACACTCAGAACAACTTTCATCGTGACTATCAGAGACCAAAGAAAGGGCTAGATGAATCCTCCCCAAACAAATCTGGTTTAGGAGGAAATATCTGATGTTCATGAGCCATTAGAAAGTTTTAGGGAAATGAAATAATGGAACTACCATATCTTAGGGAAAAAATGTTAGAGGCATTATCTAAACACAGCATTATATCTGAATAAGTCTTTATACTATTCAGCAAAGTTGGATTTAATATCAACCATTTCTTTGAATAGCGTTCAGTCTCACTATTTTCCAGTTCCCATAATCCCACTGGAAAACAATATTGCAGATTACATTGGGTTAGATTAATGTTCATTCATAAAAGCTGAGGACTTCATAATTTCTCATACTCCCTAGAGGTATCAGAAACTAAATGGAAGGGTTTCTTAACCTAGGTTCTGTGAACTTAAAAACAAAGGAAACAAAACAAAACAAAAATAAATGTATCTCAATAACTACATTTCATTATAATTAGTTTCCTCTATGATCACATATGTTTTATGGTATTAAAAAAATATTCTGAGAAGGGAACAAGAGGCTACAACGAGCAAAGGACTTCATGACACACATTAAAAAAATAAAGTTAAGGACCCTTGGTGTATGGAATATGATACCTTGAAAAGGAACTAAAGCTCCTTATGCTATAGGTCACATATTTACACTCTTTCTTCCATTTAAGATTGAGATTTTGCAAGAGAACAAAAACATGGGAAGTGAGCAGCTGTCTATAGAAGCCTGACAGAACACAATGTGCATTGCAGAATTATCAAATCAAGTCAATATTATTGTTTAAGATAGCAGAATGATAGATTCTAGAGTCAGGGATTGAAGATCTTTTCAGGGTTAGGAAGAACATGTTCCTATTTGGAGATTTGCCTTTCTTTAAATTGAGAATGGAAATTTCAGTAGCGAGGGCAAAGGAAATTGTCCAAATAAAGCATTATATCGAGATATTTCATGGTATATCAGGTACATAGAATAGCAGTAGGATTCAGTAATATAGCTATTCACAGGAGTAAATAGTTGAAGAAGGAAAGAATAACACACAAGATTTCAGGTATTTATATTCCAATGCACCGATTATTATTGAAAAGCGAAATGATGATCTTAATACACAATTATTTCTTAAGTATTACCAATAGCAGGTAGGATAGGAATCATGATTAAAATATAGAAATGAAATGTGTTCCTCATTAAAAAAGAAATACATCTGACAGAAAGGGAGAGAAATTTTGATGTAGATCAGGAATATTTAAATTTATGTTGTGTGCGTTTACACACGTATGAGTGTGTGTGCCTGAGTGCGTGCATGCGTGCATGCGTGTGTGTGTGTGTGTGTGTGTGTGTGTGTGTGTGTGTGTGTGTGTTGGGAA